CCTAGCTAGGAGGCACATAGGCAGGAAGAATTAGTATGTCAAGATGCACGCCTGTCCCCAACTGGTTGAAGGCAGGAAGGTTGAGGCCTTGTCGGTCTTGCCTTTATAAATCTCTGACTAATGTAATTTGGTGCCATACTCTGGGAATCCCGGGTATAGACATGGTGGTCACTATCCATCATCCTGGCCAAATTTGACTCAAAAATTGTGCTAGTGGTCTTATTCTTGCTCCATGGGATTAACAGAAAACCCTTCAAAGACTTCAAAAAGGGGGAAAAAAATAGCCTTCAAGGAGAGGCTCACCTTCAGCTTCCAGAGTCCCCCTGTCTCTCTGGGCTTTCTGCATTCATTTCCTCAACCCTAGTAAAAAAACCTTCTGACTGGCTGATGCTGGCTGTTCATGACTGCCATGTTTCCAACTTTCCGTGCTGCTCCCCGTAGGACTGGAGATGTTTCCTGCCTTTTGACTCTTTAAGTGGCAGAGAAAACAAAGCTTGCTTCAAATCGGCTTCAAAAGTTTGGTGATGGTCTTATTCTCGCCTGGTGGGATCAACACGTGTTGGTGTCCGTGCAATCCCAGCGCTCGGGACACTGAGTTAGGAGAAGTAAGAGCCCGACGCCAGCCAGGCACACAACTCTGTTATAAAACACTCCAGGACGGAGAAAGGAAAATGGACTTTGCTACTAACATGTTCTCGGAAATATTAAGTCATGTCAAAACATTGCCGGGTGTAACATTCACCTCAATCCCAGAATTCAAGAGGCATAGGCCAGCAGATCTGTCAGTTCAGAGGCAGCCTAGTCTACATAGAGTTCCATTCTAGAAAGTGACATCTTGCCCCTCCTCTCCTCTACCCCCCAAATAAAGGCAAAAACAAACCAACTCCACACACATGCAAGTAAAAATTTAAAGCAATACTACAGAACTATGCTGGGGTATACCCTCACATGCACACACAGAAAACCAAGAAAAGAACAAAGTTTGAAGAGTCATACTTCAAAAAAAAAAAAAAATATGCATACGCACACGCCTTTAATCTCACCACTGGGAAAGAAGAGGCAGGTGGATCTCTCTTTGTTAAGCCCATTTCAGACAGCCAGGGATACACAGAGAAATGCTGTCACTAAACAATAGAGAACCCAGAATGAGACAGGGCTGCTTAAGAGCACCTGTTGTCTTGCAGGGGACCTAGTGTCCATTCCCAGCACACACACACAGTCGCTCAGCCACATGGAAGTCCAGTTCCAGGGATCCAACGACTTACTCCCCGACACCCCACACACACACACACACACACACACACACACACACACACACACACACACGAAAGCATTCGGGCTACATTTCAACATGAGATCACAGGGGACACCTTGGAGCTGTTCTCGTCAAAACTAGTAAAAAATCAGGGCTGGAGAGACCGCTCGGTGTTGGAGAGCACGTGTTGCTCTTTCAGAGAACGGGGCTTTCTTTCCTAGTATTGATGCTGTGAGTCACAAGCACCCATCCCTCTAGTTCCAGGGGGAGAATACACCCTCTTCTGACCTTTGTCAGCACCACACACACATGTGGCTTACATACATGGACATACGTAGTATATGGGTGAACATGCCTATATGCAACTAAACATACAAAAAAAATTAGTGCATGGTGGTGGTGGTACAAGCCTTTAATCCCAGTACCGGGGAGCCAGAGACAGGCCGATCTCTGAGTTCCAGGACAGCCAAGACTATACAAAGAAACTCTGTTTTTGAGGGGGGGTGGGGTAGGGAGAAAGAACCTAACAACAACAGAGACCCAACTGAAACTCAGAAGCACAGAAGAGAACCTCTGCAAACAGTCATGAAAGACTATAGAGAGGGGAAAACAAACATTTATTCGGGGCACTGTAACACTCGGAAAAATGAGAAGTCAAGTCTCGTTACAAATCCAAGGCCACCCTGTTCCTCCTCCAACCAAACTGAGTCCCATGGAAACGCCTCTCCACACTTGGACAGTCAAGAACAGAGCTCCCGCCCTCTCTCTTATGCCCCTGGCGTCAACTTCTTGGGAAGAGCTCTACCAGAGGAGGACAGTTCAGTGGACGTGGCTCAAACAGAGGGCACTCTCATAACTTCTCTTTTAAGGTCAGGGTCAGTCCTAAAGTGAAGGTTTGCCAGGGGCTGAAGCTGTTCCCTGAAATCTCTGCACTCAGAAACCTATGTGAGGGGGAATGACGTGCCTTTCAGAAAACACTTTTTTGTTCAGGGGCTTCAAACTTGGATCCCGAAATCCACGGGTTCGTGACATATCCTAGGCCAGTGACCTCTCCACTTTTATGAGTGGGAGGTGTGTGTGTGTGTGACTGGCGATGACATTTGCTCTTTTCTCAACCCTCCTTTAGTCCCACTGGGTTTTCAGGTGTTCATTTAGACAACCAAGGGACTTATTACCCTCATTGCCCTCTTTTTTGTTTGTGTTTTATTTTGGTTTGTCGAGACAGGGTTTCCCTGTGGCTTTGGAGGCTACCCTGGAACTAACTCTTGTAGACCAGGCTGGTCTCAAACTCACAGAGATCTGCCTGCCTCTGCCTCCCAAGTACTGGGATTAAAGGCGTGTGCCACCACCACCTGGCTTTGTGTGTGTGTGTGTGTTTCATTGCCCTCTTTAGACTTTCACTTATCGAGTGTGAACCTTCCGGTGTTTATACAGGCTAGAGCTACTGCAATATACTTTGTCACACTCCCGGCAAGCGTACTGCTTGGCTACAATGTGAACTTTCATGTGTCTCACGAAGTTGTAACTGGAATTAAAGACTCTCCCGCACTCATTGCACTTAAAGGGCTTGCCATGGACGGTTAGGTGCTCAATGAGGTCAGAGTTTTGGGTGAAATATTCCCCACATTCACTGCAACCGAAAGGCTTTTCTGCAGTGTGGCTGTAGAAATGGTTCAGAAGGCCTTCGCGGCTTCTGTACGCCTTCCCACACTCGCTGCACTCAAAGGGCATTTCGCCCGTGTGAAAGCGATAATGGACTTTGAGGCCTTCCCTGCTCCTGTACGATTTCCCACACTCGCTGCACTTAAAGGGCATTTCTCCTGTGTGAAGTCCTTGATGGGAAATGAGGGAGATGTTATGCTTGAAGGCTTTGCCACATTCCCCACACCTATAAGGCTTTTCCCCGGTGTGCATTCGGAAATGCTTAATGAGGAAGGCTTTCTGGCTGAAGGATTTGCCACACTCGCTGCACTGGAAAGGCTTTTCTCCAGTGTGTATCTTCCAGTGGCGGTTAAGATGAGATATACTAGTAAACACTTTGCCACAGTAAGTGCATTTGCAGTTTTTCTTCTCAGTGGCCAGGGCCTCTGCGCTCTCAGGGCTCTTGGGTGCCTCCCCAACCGTGTAAGTCACCTGATGCCCGTGGAGACCCGAGGAAGTCTGGAGGATCACTGCGCTGTCTGCACTTAGCAAGGCTGGCTCAGCATGGCTCAGCCCTGGCTGTTGGGGCATGGCTGAATGAAGATCTCCTTCCACAGAAAGACTCTGCTCAAAGGGGGCTGTGTCACTCTCCACTTTGATCCAACAACCTGAACAGTGAGAAACACTGGTGAATGTCGTGGAGACTGCTGAGCGACAGGCACACAGCACTTATTACTAACAGCGTTCTGAGATTGCTCACACAACACCGGGGCTAGTTCAGGATGGCAAGGAGCCATTGCCAAGCTCGCTTTGTCAGCATCACAGGGCCTAGGGACGTTAGGGACAGCAAGAACACAAGCATGGGGTGAATAACCGGGAGAAGCGCTGTGAACCTTAACACAGCCCTTCAGCGATAGCTGTCTACAAGCTTTAGTTGCTGAAGACGCAGGACACAGTGCTGTCTAGGTCCCCAAGGCAGGGTGACTGAAGAGAACCTGCATTCCAGGACTGCCCTAGGTATAATGCACACTAACGCGGTCAAGGAAAGCCCGAGTTTCACAGGGTTGCAGGGCAGCGGGCAAAACGTAAGAGACACTGAACCATGAACATATTATAACCTGGTTATAATATGTGCATCCACCTGCAGTCTCCTCTCTACAAGTACCTGTCCACAAACACGGAGTCGTGAATCTCAGTGCAGGGGCGGAGAGATCTCCGCAAGATTCCACCTGAGTTATGTCACTGATCCCAGAAAGCTCAAGTCCTAAAGGAAAATGACAAAAGAGGTAAGTGCTCCTGGGCAAGGACTGGCTGATCCTCCAACCCTTAATAATCCAAAGTAAAAAAAAAAAACACCTAATAAGAACAATCGTTATAAGAGTATCTTGCAAGAGAAGCAAATAATGAGCCCACCAGTGCCACAATTCCTGACACCTGCAGACACAAAGCATGCCACCTAAAAGGAGAGAGAAATATCTGGGTCACAGAGATGCCAAGGCATCAGCTCAAGGATGACGGGACCGTTGAGTCTCCCAATTGCCTAGTACTGCCTACCATTAATCCCAGCACTTGGAAGGCAGAGGCAGGAGGATCTCTCTGAGTTCCAGCCAGCCTGATTAATACAGTGAGTACCAAGCCCTATTTGCATAACCCACCACACAGACAAATATTGTCACCGCAAATGATTTGTTGGCTTTTACTGTTCTTAAGAGACAAAGGGTATTGTGTAACAAGCTGTGTCTATAATCTGTACTTTCAGCCACAGGACAGTGTGGGGAAAGACAGTGTTCACAAGCCAGCTTTGAGAAGGATACGTCTCTTTGAAGGAAAAAAAAAAAAAGCCAAGCCTGTACAGACATGCTTTAACAGGATGCAGGGGCGGGGCCTTACTCAGCGAGGACACAAGTTCAAAGATGTCTGTCATCACAGTCTGGTACAGGAGCCTTTGGGAGTCATCAAGCAGTTTCCATTCCTCCCAGGAGAAGTACACAGCCACATCCTCAAAGGACACACAGCCCTGCCACAATGGGAAAGTTGAGTTTATACCAAGTCCCTTCTCAGGGACTCTTGCCATCCTCAAGACAGCCATTCCCACTTGGCTTCCTACATCAGAGGGTACCAAGCTCTGAAGCGATGACATTGATCGAGTCTGTCCTCAAGGTCCCACCAAGCACTCAGCAAGAACGGGCAGGTGGACTGATGGTGTCTTAGGTACTTTTCTATTACTGTCAAGAGACACCATAGCCAAGGCAACTTACAGAACAAAGAGTTTACTGGGGGCTTACAATTCACAGAGTGAGCCCATGACCCTGACAGCAGCAGGCATGCTCGGCACTGGAGCAGTAGCTGAGAGCTTCATCTGAACCGTAGGTACCAGGCAGAGAGGGTTAACTGGGAATGGCATAGGCTTTTGAAACCCGCAAGCCCATCCCCACTGACACACCTCCTCCAGCCAGGCCACGCCTCATAATCCTTCCCAAACTGTTCCACCAGTGGGGACCAAGTATTCAAGTCTATGAGCCTACGGGGGGCATGCTCATTGAAAGCACCCCAGTTGGAGTCAACCCAAGCTTGAAGGATGCCATGAGCAGCCCCTCCTTTCTAGCACAGAATCTACATGGGCTCCTCCCAATCATCTGCCTCACACAGACCATATCTGGGTCACTGTTGTCCACTGTGTTCCAGGCAGGAAGACCAGGAAGCCATCCATCTCTACACACTCTCACAGCCCACAGGGCAGTCTTCACTCAGAACTTCCATCTCCATCCCAGCACGCAAGCCCAGCCCTCAGTGACTGTGCTGCCCCCAGCTCCTACCATCCACCTAACGCTGTAGACCTCATGCACACCCGAGGATTCCTCAGCATTCCCGAACCATCTCCCTGCCAGCCTTCCTCTAAAGCTCAGCCCTGGGACTTTAAGACCTCTGAAACTGAAGCCAGTGGTTGCCATGAATGGAAAGCGGGCCACGCATTCCCTGCGGTGGACGTGGGGACCTTACATGCTGAGCCACCCGCCAGGGAGACCCAATGGAAGCAGAGAGAGAGAAAGAGAGAACGCCAAGCAAAGAGTCCCCAGACACCACAACCACAGAGGTCTCCTAAACCCCTCACTTACCTCTTCCTGGTTGGGAGATTTCATTGAATAATGAGAAACCTGTAGAAAAACGAGAGTGTGAGTAACAAATGAGGGTGTTGGTACCCCAAAGGTTCACCCGAGTCCCCTCTCCTACCCACAGTCGGGCACATCCAGATGCCCCCAGGGCTCCACCCCTTAATGGTGTGTCTTACTGGGTGACTTTGGACAAGGAATCAATCTCCCCAGTTTGCTGTCTGAAGATAAGAATGGCAGCTCGTCTGTCTTATTTGCTGTTCTATTGCTGTGAAGAGACACCATGACCCAGGCAACTCTTATAGAAGTATTTAAGTGGGGCTTGTTCATAGTTCCACGCGGTTATCCCACTATTATCAGGGTGGGAAGCAGACTGGCTTGTGCGAGCGCTTTACATCCTGATAGAGAAGCAGCAGGAAGAGAGACAGAGAGAGAGAGAGAGAGAGAGAGAGAGAGAGAGAGAGAGACAGACATAGAGACAGAGAGAGGCAGAGACACAGAGAGACAGAGGGAGACACAGAGAGAATTTGACAATGGCAAATTTTCCCAGCTCCACACTTCCAACCAGGCTACGCCTCCTAATCTTTCTCAAACAGTGCCACTCCCTGGTGACTAAGCACTGAAATACATGAGCCTGTGAGAGCCATTGTCCCCCCAAACCACCACGCACAGTCCTAGTTCAAAAGGAAAATTATTGCATCCAAGTCAGCCCAGGCGTTTCCTGGGCACATGACTAATACTTTCACAAACACTTAAACAATTATTTCAGAATGTATGGTTTTATCTACATACATTTAATTAAGAATGTAGGAGCCCAGTTGTAGTGGTTGTCCCATGCCTTGAATCCTACAGAGAAACCTCGAGTGTGTGTTCGTGCGTGCGTGCGTGCGTGTGTGTGTGTGTGTGTGTGTGTGTGTGTGTATGATTTAATATCAGCCAGGTATAGTGGTGCATCCCTTTAATTGCAACACATGGAAGGCAAAAGAAAGCAGATCTCTGCGAGTCTGAGGCCAGCACGGGCCACATAGGCCAGTCAGAGTCACATGGTGAATTCAAGTTGGGTAAATAGTGACAGTTAACACAGCAGACTTTACTCAAATGATGAATATTTTCATATTTAAAAAAAAAAAGGAAAGTACTTCTTCTTTTTCTTTTTCTTTTTTTTAAATCTATCAGAGAGGCCGGAGATGGAGAGGCCATGCCTTTAATCCAATCACTCTGGAGGGGTTTTCAG